TCGCCCGCGCCTCCCATCGCTGGAGGACTCAGGAGGAACTTGGAGTTTGGGCCAGCCCTGAACTTAGCAGGTCTGCGTCCCGACCCAGCCCTGGGCCCTCCGAGGGCGGGCGTTCTCGGGGCCAGGAAGGGAGCGCACCTTTCGCCCAGCACAAGGCGGCCAATCCCGGCCCCCGATTCTTGACCCGCGACCCAACTCATTTTCGCCGCATCCGGTACTGGAAACAAAAGTCTTCCTCATCCTCAACACAGGCATCCTCCATCCACCCTCCGCCACTTCCCCCCAAGTCCAGGCGTGCGGAGCAGTTCCCATTCCCCGCTGGCTGTGCCCACCCATTCCCTGCTGGCTGTGCCCACCCATTCCCCACTGGCTCTTATTGGCAGTGGGCCTGCTATGGCACGGGCCAGGACGGGCCAGCCACGGGGATAGGGGGAGAGTGGAAGGAGTACCTGTCAGGGAGGAGCCTTGGTGCTCATGAAATAAGCAGAGGAACGAGAAAGCTCGATCCTCATGCTGCCCACATGCGGAGCCTGGCAAAGCTCAGAGGTGTCAGGGCGCTGACCTCGTTAGGGAGAAGCAGCCCTGGTGACTGGGGCACAGACACCAAGGCCGACCCAGGGAGGAGTAGCTCCCAGTCTGGCAGAGGACGTGGGAGCACAAGGTCACCCCACTCCTGGGCTGGGCTGCGCCCTCAGCATCACTCCTCTCCCTGTACCCCCAGCGGCCCTGCGGCCCCTTTGCTAAGGCAGGAGCAACAGAACCGGCTCCCGGGGTGCTGGTGGGCAGTGCTGGTCCCCGTCTGCTTCCCTTGAGGTTCTCCCTGGGGTTGTCCTCTCCCCTGGGCACAGGCCCTGCCCTCCCTCGAGGCCACCCTCCACCTGCAAGGCAAGGGCTTCTGGGGACAGACTGAATGGAGGCCTCTTCATGAGTCAGTCACCTCATAAGCATCACCATCTCGGTTCCCCAGTTCCCTGGGAGGGGGCGGAACGCTGGGGCACAGGGCCTACTGAGCCTGGCAGAGAGCTGGGTGCCCAGTGGGCAGGACACCCCAGGGGAGGCTCAGAAGTGAAGTCGGACTTTGGGCTTGACCTCCAGGCCAGAGGGCAGTGGGGACAGATGGCCAGAGACCCCGAGGTCAGCCCCTCTGGCTTCTGGTGGTCGGGGGCATGGTGGAGGCCTGTTTCTGGGACCTGGCGGGGTCCATGAGGGCAATGCCGTGTGTGTGTTCGGGAAGAGGGTCCCTCGGACGCCCGGCTCAGCCCAGGCCGCCTGGCGCTTCCCTCTGGTGTGCTCCGGGCCCCAGCCAGCCTGCTCTGCGCACTAGAGCCTCTCCGTGTTGCTCATTAACGGATTAGCAGAGCACTTTTATTGGGCCCTGGCGGCAGCCACACACCCCGTCCCCAGCTAACCGCCCAAGTGGCCTGGCGGGAGTCGGGTTAGACGTCGGGGCCAGCCTTACCCTGCACCCACAGCCTGCCCACCTTCGGCAGCGCGAAGGGAGAATGCCGCCTCCCCAAGGGCCTGAGAGGGGGGAGGGTGGGGGCGGCCCGGGGCAGGGAGGCATTTAGCAAAGGGGATAAAAGCACAAGCTCAGCCCCTGCCACCGGGAGACGTGCAGCAGGTCCCTCCACATCTCTGTGCCTCAGTTTCCCGCACGCGAGGACACCCAGGTCTGTTTTCTCGAGCGGCGGTGAGACGCAAATGAAATAACGCATGCAGACCGCACCCCAAAGCACAGCTTCCAGCCAGCAAACGTGAGTTCTAGGCCTGTTGCAATTGTACCAGTGATTGCGGTGACCCAGGGGACCCCAGGGTCCCGCTCCCCCTTCCCCAGCAGGTGTCTCTGCCATCCAGCCCCCCACCAGCCTGCCCTCCACTGGACCTTGCGAAAGATTCCTTTTAATCAAGAAATGGCCCGCGGAGGAAGATGGCAGATACGTGTTTATAGCTTTCTGTTTCCCGCCTTGCCTTTTTGTAAACACCCTGTCCCAAGCAGGAAAATAAATTTCCAACCCTGTTGACGTGCATCGATTTTTCCCTCCTGCGTCCACCTCCTAGTCTTCCCCCGTCAGCAGAGTCTGTGGTTAAACCCCTGGCTTGGGCCGGGCTCAGTGGTACCCCAGGGGAGCGGGTGTCCCCGGGGCCCAGAGCAGCCAGCTGAACTGCTCCATGTTGCCCAGTGTCTGGCTCAGGGAAGGTTTGCACACAGAAACAGTTCCAATCCCTTTTGCTGTGAGGCTTCTTGGCCAGGGAGTGGGGTGGGGTGAGGGCGGGGAGGTTAGGGATTTTCAGCATCTTCCCTGGCTGGTCTCTGTGGAAAGGAGACCAGGGGATCACAGGACTGCTGCAAGCTCAGCAAATGGATGCAGATGGGGTCTGCCCCAAGCAAGGACTGGTCTGCAAGGGGCCTGCCAACAGGCCCTGGGACCCGCTGTGCAAATGGGGGCTGCGGAGAGAAGCCATGGCGGCCGGGCTGGAATGCATCCTGCCGGGCTCAGCAAAACAGGCAGCTTCCTGGTGCCGACCCCGGAAAGATGGCCCAGGGGCCAATGAGGAGGTGGACACAGTCCTGGCCTGGGGACTGCCACTCCCTCCTCAGTGTGGCTGAGGGAGGCAGAGGTGGGTGCAGGGAGACAGAAGGAGTTGGCTGAGAATGCTTCTAGAAACGCTGACGGCCTGTCAGAGACCACACTCTGGGTGGGAGCCAACCTCAGCCCCAGGGTCCTTTTCAGGAGGTTAAAAGGGCAGCAGTTAAAGGAGGCAGCCTGTGGGCAGGCCTTGCTCTTCTTCTCTCAGACACCCCCACCCCTCCCCCTCCAGGCTCCCCCTGCAGGGTCACCTCCGGCTGCACGGAGGGCTCAGAGGATGGGGCTGGTCCTCCAAGGACCTCCTGTCCCTGCAGCAGGGCCCCTGCCCGCTTCCCAGGCAGGCGTGGGGGACGCAGGACGGCAGCTTCCCGCAGCTGAGGGGCTGAGGATGAAGAGGCTCCTCCACATTCAGATAACAGGGATCCCCTGTGGGGCTGGTGGGACCTGGGAGCAGATGAGAAGCAGGGCCACTCTGGCCTGGTTATCTCTGGGCTTAACA